TGCAAGTATTGTGACAAGTGCACACGAAAGGGGTGAGCACCGGATTCTGATCTTGTTTGGGCTCAGCAGTAGGGCATATCCTTGTCCGTGGCTGGATGTGGAATTCGAACATCTGGCATGCGATTCGAGCATGTTACCACTACTCCAGGAGAACACGCTGGACCCAACTGGATTATTACATCTAAATGGGCGATTGTGTTCACACCTCGCATGTCAGACGCCCGGAGTTCTAACCTTGACACAGTCAAGGATATGTCCCGCTGATGATCTCTAACAGGAGGAAAACACATGTTCAGCGATTCCTTATTGGGCATGGGGTCACCAGAGTGATTACGCCAGGACCGGAGGACGGCAGTTCAGGCGAGAGTAATGCGACTCCTACAGTTTCCGCAACCAATAACAACAGGAGGACCCTAATGAGCGAGAGGGCATCATAAATGTCATTTTTCCACTTTGAGTTGTCTTTACATCAGTTTACAGGAAGCATGTTCTTCTCAAACCTGGATTTGATTTCTACTGGGATCTTTCGCTTACTAACTATCCACTAGTAGAGGAATTACAGCGGAAAATATGAATGATCCGTTAATACCTCTAAGAAACGTGGTGGAACGTTCAGTGGAACAAAGCTGATCACTTGGTATTACAGCTTTGTAAAGTTTCGACCGATTTTATTGTTGACTCAGAAAAATAGCCATGTGAAATGAGGGCTGTTAATGTACCGTAGTGAAAACAACCATTTGTTTATCGTCTTTTGCTGTTTGCACCACCACCATCATCACCAATATTGTTGACATCGGACAGATACAAAAGTTTACGATGATCGAACAACCCATCGAATATTGGGTGGGGCCGATCAATTTCGTACTAGTGTGTTTACGAGGCGTGTCTAAAACAAGAAAATTCTATCATCTGTTGTACCAAGTAGGTCGCAGATGTCTCAAGGTCACTCAGATTTTCATTATAAATTGGAATCAACTCCCAACTCAAAGCAGTCTTCACGGAATTGGACAGCCAGTCGGCAACATTTCTTTCAGTGTAGCCGTCTTTCCTTTTCTAATATTAGTTACTAAATAATCTTCCACCTCTACCTGGCTTGGGCGTGAATTTGGTGCATTTTTCCCATTAAGAAGAAACATTCAGTTTTCTATAGCCTTTTCGTACATGGTTCTTGCAGATGCACTTAGGCTTAAGTGAAACAGACAAATAGGTTACACACCTCGTTCGATCGAGTGGCGCAGAAATGCGAGCCTTCGAACTACGTAAGAGACCAAAATTACAGTTACGGGGTGACTTAAATGATGGATTCTAGCTACTTCATGGGGCTGCAAGTAGTGTACGGGAGTTTCGTCGACCTCTTTTCGGAATTTTTTTCGGTAGCTAATTGAAGACGATTGGCTGCTCGGAAATGAGCTGGGATGTGACTCTTTCAGATTAAAATAATCATAGAACAAATTGGGTGACCGGTGAAGACGTCCGTACACTGTACCAAACATTATCAAGCGTCATCCTGATTTATCCTGAACGTTGTTTGAATATTAAACAATTATAAATGAAAACTGCAAAGCGGTTCCCTAATTTACGTAGCAACCTTTACATTCCGTCATATACGGGGGCGGAGCCTGGACACCGGACAATTAACTACTTGAATGCTTCATCAATAGTGTACATCGTTACACATTGAAATTTTCAACACTTTGTTTTGAAGCACACCAGAATGAGTGCCTCTCATATCCTGATCTGGTATGCTGTTCGGCTCCTGTTCTCCCTCATGATTTACATTGAAACCTCAGCAAGACAAAATGCAGTCACTTGCACTGTCAATCATGGAGTCCGCATATTCATTTTTTGTGCATAGCTTAAAACTATGGTGAATTTCAACCGAATGTGTTGATTTGTTATCAGTTGAGCATAGTTTTTTCATGAAGTTCTCGCCCTACAAAGTAGTGAACTTGCTTGGCCCTATAGTATTTACTTGTCCCCTACGACAAACACAATTGACTCAGTCAGACCACTAATTAAAAAGGCTCCGGACAAGTGAAATCACTAGTAGAAGTTAACACACTTGTTAGGTTTCTTCATTCTGCATAGGTGAGTACGCACCTCATGTAAGTGTGGCCTGGAAAACGCTAGTCCACTGTGTCATCCTACCTCGCAACTAGAGCAGTATGGCATCCATTTTCAATATTCCCCGTCGCACTGTGTATCCCGGCATGACATAGGCAAGGATACATGTGTTTCGAGCTTAGCCGGGCGTGCAGATGTACAGCCATCCTTATCTTCTGTAATCCCGAGGGAGTAATATCCGCAGGTGAACCAGTAACATATACTTCTGAAATCATGTAGATGCAAGTCAGAAGCCAGAACCCACAGTGCGTGTCTAGACTGGCTCATGTCCCGTACTACTAAGATGTTCGAGAGGCACATATGTTGGGCTAACTTGTGCAACCAAAGATCGCTTTGGCCTTTGCGAAAATGGCCTCGGAAACTCAGTTCTAGAAAAGCTGTTGGCCTTACACTTCCCGGGGGGAGTCCACTGACAAGTCGACTTTTTTGGATTGCCAGTCGGTTTCCAGTGAACCGGTCCAGTGCATTTCTAATGAGTTGAAAACGGACCACACTGCCTTGTCGTTCTTTAACTAACTGTGTTTTGGTTTGCCCTGTAGTCATAGGAAGTCGCTTCTCTCACTACCGCATGCTTCACACAACGAATAAAGTTAGCACTGATTAGTTACTGAGTCACAGTGGTGTACAGAACCATTCGAAAGCGGAGGATTCTGTTTCGTTGCACTGGTAATCTCTGTCATAAAATTATCCCTGGTTGTCCATTGTCTGATCCAATTTAGTCTAGAAGGTGATGGTCATGGAATGCCGTCGACCGGGCCATCGCAACTTAGCTGTCTGATATCCCGAGATAACCAACGGTGGTCTGGTACGTTAACTTCATTTTGAGGGTAAATGGTGTCCGTTCGTCGGTGGGCACGACGAAGTTCAGACTGACATGCGCAAACTTGGCCGCATTTGCTGTGAATTCAGTTAAATCTACTGTCAAGTCCGACATCTGCCAAGCGACCGTCTTGTGTTCAGCGCCCCAGCTCTCTAGGTCGAAGTTGTCGGGCGATGAACTGACGGGGGCAGGCTTGTGTCAGTTCTTTTTGTACATGTTTCTCGTTCATACTTGTCGTGTAGCCAGAGCGATGTGGGTAGCTTTGTGGCTCTTACTCACAGCGTCCACAAACGGCCTGCCTCGCCTGAGTTCCTCAGATTTTCGTGCAACAGTGTCCTGTGTTTCTCCATTTGACAAGCACGTTCTGTGCGTAATAAACGTTATCCATGGCACTCACAGAAGAGAATTACGTACTCCAGATAAAAATTCTCATGCTTGCTGAAAGATCTTCAATAACCCACTACCGGTTCCCATCTTCATGAGGCTTATCAGCCAGGCGCAATCACCCATCTTCCGCCAATTTTATGTTCCACTGGAACACACGAAGTTCGCCAACTGCTCTCTTGTTTGGTTGTAACTCAACTGGAGCCCAGATGAACATACCGTATATGATATTTTATAATTAAGTATGCTGAACAAACGCAGCCTCGTGTTTTAGCCGGTAGGACACCAGTAGTGAATTAGTTTCAGCAGAGTCAAAAGAAACCTAGGTGGTGGAAAGTTTACTAGGTTTACCTTAGTTGATCATGAAAAAATGAAGCTAGTGCCGTCTACTTCCTACTTTTGGGTACTAAGTCTTTCTGAATAAAAAAAGAATTCAATCCCGCCAACCAATTTTGCCGAAAACTTTGACAGCCCACGACTTGTTCCACTTCTCTTGAGGCTCACCATTTTGGCACGGTTCTTGAGTTTCTCTCAACTTTATGTCGTCCCTTGTTGAAAAACTTTCAGCATTCTAATAAGTAGTGCGTTCATTTGATAAAATCTCTCGCGAGACTCCGAATATCGTAGCAATTAAACATGAAGTGCCGTCTGTGCGAAATTCTAAGTTAGAGCAGAATAGTGTAGAATAACGATTTACCTGGGATTCATTTGTCATCCCTTATTTTGCAGGTGCGTGTCACTCCCACTTTGCCTTACCGTGTATGTTGCTGTGCCAAGCAGAGTGGATGAATATGAAACGTGTGGCTACAAGGCAATGGAGGGTGGGTGATAGGCTCCACGAGTGGACCAGCGTTAGCTGATTTTCTTACAATCCAGATGGAAAGGAGGGTCATTAACTTATCTCAGATTGCTCCTGTGTGGATTACTAATTTAAAAAAACTCAAACCAGGTGCATCACTTACATCACCAGGTCCATCAACGTCAAATTTGGATCGGATACACGCCAGGTTAGGAGCGGTATTATTTAGCGTATTGTTGTAAGTACATCTAATCGGGCGATTTAAGGGTTCCACCTTGTGCTTCTTGTAGGCGATCCTTTCGAGAAACTTCATTATCCTATCAATGTCTGGTTGAAAAGTCAGTGAAAATATCCCCCAGTAAAATTCTAGGAGTGGTGTGATTTTCAATTGCCGGTTTACCGGTTATGAATGGAGTTCTCGGAAGATAAACCGGGTGCAATGGAAAAGCGTGGGAGCCACGTCAGTGGGGAAAATTCAGTTTGTGATGTTCAAAGGAAACTCAAGAGCATTCCAAGTAGGAAACCTCCCACAGCCACATTTCGATCAGGATTCTCACCTATTATACTCTGCTGTATACGGTCGGATATGGTGGACATACCACTAACAGATTGAGTAGTAGATACTTGAGTGCAATTACACTTAGTTGAGGACTAAAATGACTTAGTAATCAGCTTGAACTAATTACGCTGTGAATGCCACACAGGCCATCGCCTGCTTATCCCTCTGGAACGACGATGTAGCATCTAAGACGAATGGAATTCGGCACACGTTTGAGGCTGAATCACTGACTAACCGAGTCACCAACTTGTCACTATTCTAAGAGATTGCACAACACATTTCGAACTGGATTAACATGAAAAGTGAGCGGAGTGGGGCGCAATATCTCGAATCAAGCATGAGCTGAGTGAGGGTCTTGTAAGAGCCCAAAGTAGTCCGCACAAATTTTCTACACATATGGAAAGATCTAAAGTAATGCTGCTATGCCCACACGGCTACCAGATGTGAACAGGCGTCAAGTAGGAAAGGACCTGAAGAGGAAATCAAGAGTCGAACACCATGAGGAGCTTCTAAAAACAATACCCGTAGTACACCAATCGACAAGATAGAGATGCTAAAAAGAACGAACAAAATTTGGTTCTGATCCAGTTGAGTCCTCAACGGACAGGCGTGAGAATCTTGTGTGTACAGGGGGTGTGAGTTGAAGGACGAATAAAAGCGGCAAAAACGGGGAAATCGAACAAAAAGCTGGCAAACAACGACATGTGAAAGTGAAGACTACCGCCATGACGGTCACACTAGAATCTACGCTGCTTGTTGTTGCTATGTCTTCTTTACAGTCGAATGAATGTACTCGTCATGACAGAAGTGAAATCCGAGATGAAGCAGGAACCGGGAGATACGGGCGAGACCGCGATGAAACTAGCGTGGAGGTTATCCAATCAGAACCACGCCAGAAGGGGAGTGAAACTAACCAAATCCTGCTCGTCTGTCATCTGCAGAAGCAAAACGAAAACACACATAGCTGTAGTATGAGTCGGGGTAAGAGCATGAATCAGAAGGAAGGCAACAAGGATAGATGATAAGGAATGAAGGAAAAAGCGTTCCGATTTCCGGCATTTGAAGTTACAAAGAATTCAAAGATGCTTAAAGTTTGACCCTCCGATTAGGTCACGCACCTGACGAACACATGTGATGGCTACACACGTGAGTAAACAAAATTCGACAAAAATGAGAGTCACGTGACCATAAACGAAACGAATTCAGGGGATAACACACGAATGTTTGTTCGCGGTATAGCGTATTTAGTTCGATAAATATACCCGGAAAATGCTGACTGCCTCACAAACGCCAATTCCAGTCGCACTAGCGATGACAGGCACCAAACAACCGGGTCGTTAAAACTGTCTTTGGAAAGTACACAATTCACTCTTTGGAATGTGTGCAAAGGATCAGATTGGGTTAAAACAATGTCTTGAAATACACGGAAACGATCACACAATCCAGGACTTCGATGGTCATGGGCATGGGCCGAACGATACAGGTTGGACAATGATCGATAGGAAAATAATTGCCTGATTTGGTGTTTCTCTTGTGCGGTGCAAAGGGTAAGTGATTGGAAAAACAATACACAGAAATAGCAGCTGCTGCTTCGTACACCCAATAATCAACCGTTAGAATTCAGTTAGCGCAATTGTTGCGAGGAGAATGAAACTACTGGCCGAAGATTGGAGTTAAACACGATACTCAGAAGCATCAGCGTGCATATCTGACGCTATATATAACGCACATACAGAACACCCAGATAGCATATTATTGTGCGCAGACAACTAAATACGTGTATCGGTAAATCCTATGACAAAGCTACTACTGAAAACCCTCCAAAAGCACATGACCGGTTTCGCCATACTTTGGACCCATCAGGTAAGAGCAGTCTCCTGGTTCCCTTTAATCCTGTTTTACTTGAACCCAAATCGGTCACATTTAGACAAACCCTCATTTGCACACGAATATGGTTTTGACAAGAGACTCAACATATTCTCTTGTTCATGATGGCCTGCTTCAATAGAATGTGCTATGCCAGGCCGCCTTGTGTTTCAGTCAGTACGATAATCGGGATATCAGGGTTCATGTTATATCTGCTGATTCGTCAATCTGTGGTATCTGCTGCTGACCCGCTCCAGTGCCTAATGCCGGAGAGAAAAGACTCACAGAAGGGAACACAACAGCTGTATTCCGAACAAGCGAGTGAGTGAGAGTGCAAACGTTACAACGGCCCCACGCTATTTAAAGGGGACTTTCTGACATTGATCCAGGCTGTCTGAGAGGCGTTAGTGATCACCCATCAACATCGATCGCGCCTCTGTGAAAAGCCTGAACGCTGATCACATTCGGTCGTGCTTCTGTGGCGCGCAAGAACACTCATCGGGTTCTGCTGAATTGATTGAATGATTGACTGGCCTGGCCTGGATGCTTGCCGGCTTTCCAGTTGAGTTTTTGGTGGAGCAGTAGGTTCCGGGCGTTCTAAAGTTGCTTTCAAGAATCTAACCTTCCTGATAATTCAATTAAAGCAATGAAGTTTCGCCGATGACTCTTGTGACGACGAACCGGAAATCACATGACTGTGAAAACTATGTAGGCAGCCTTCGAAAACCTCGAAGGCCTGTCACAACGAAAGGAAGCTCTACGGAAGAGAAGGGAGTCTTTGTTGTTCCGTATTGCGATTCGTGGGCAGTAAAAGTCTTCCGACTTTGGGAAACTGGACACCGTAGGTTTGGTTACAAATTAACGGACAATTAGTCTAGCTGAATGGTTTGAGACAATCAATTGAATACAAGATTCAACCATTCAGTGATCCAGATTATCCGCTGTTCCATCGTGTGGCAGATGTGACCTGCTTTGCGCTTTCTTTAACCGCACGCAAGGTTAGTAGTACAATAACCGTTCTACTCTCGTTATGTCTGCAGACTCAGTGACTACCAGGCCTTCACCTAGGATCATACCCAAATTTTTGAAATGGGAAAAAATCCCATTCACGAGTTTGTTTGCTCAAATTTAGAAATGGACCATATGTCCCTGCTTGTCCCATTCATTTGGCTGTGCAAGGGCTTGTCAAAAGGATAAAGAGAGATGACAAAATAATAGTTGATTGCTACTGATTTATTATGGGCTAATTGCGTGTGGGGCGTTGGGTTCCTAAAAACGATTTGGTATGGCCACAAACCGAAGGGGTCTTTCCAAGTACTTCGCACTCTCGGAATGTTTGTGTTGCTTTCAATAAAAAAGTGAAAACTGTAGTGGCTGGGATTCAGTGTGGATTGCGCAACATGCCATCCGGATTTGACGAGCGATATTGAAGAGAATTAGGATGACTCCAATAGTATTTGGATAGGTAACAAGCGACTTTCGACTTCCCAAGCATATTGTACCCGATGCTTTCGACATAACACGTCTATGTAAAGTGATGGGGACTCGATGCAGTTCAAATGGGGATAGTTAACCTGGAACGAAGGAATTCATGACCTACCTAATGTCTCTCTGCTTTCTCATATTGGTTCCCACTTTCTTTTCGTAAACCGATAACCTTTGTATACGTTGTGTACGACACAGTAACCAATGCCTCCGCTACCTCGGAGGGTTATCAGAAAAGCGTGCCAAAGAGTTCTCGAGAGTGATGCGGTCATGTCTGCGTATGTGATCGAATGTATTGCACGGAATTCTTCCAATCCTGAAGATGAAGTTCTTTACAAAAAAGGTCAACCTATTGACCAGTTTCGTGCAGCAGCGAATGTGAAAATCGCCCTAATTAGAATCGGTGACAGCGCTCATGCAGAATGAAGTTCTTCCAGAAGTTTGGCGATACTAGTCGGCCTGAAGAATGTCTGTTTTGTCTCTACCCATCCAATTGTCATGAGTGAAACGGTAGAGACAGGAGAGAAGAATACACGGTCTGACCTGACAAAACGACTTGGATCCAAATGACTTGATCCAAAATCGAGTGGTGACAAAGAGATTGTAAGATAAAACTGGTGGTTAGGATGAAGCTCGTCACAATAAATTGCTGATTAAGGAAATGGTGGGTCGCTGGGATAGAAATACCACTTACAAACAAAAAAGCAATCCCTGTTCGGTTGTCACATCGCAGCAACTGGGGTGGGCGAACTGGCCGGACCGCCATCATTAGACTTGGTCAAGTTCAGAGATGAGAGTGAAACTGCGATATTTTGTGAGAGGACACCATTCATGATGGGTGGTTTGCTATCCACCTGAAGATGGCTACTTGTTTCTGTTGTATCTTTTGGTTTTGTATCTTGTGCCGCATGGAGAGTGGGTGCTCTCACCGAAGCTGAACCTGCGTTTCGATTGTCTGAGTGCGGCACACAAGCAAGCTGGCAAAATCGCTCCAGCCGTTCAGAGGACAGTGGTGGATGATCTTCCGGTCGCACATAAACAGGGATGATAGAGGCCAAATGAGGAAAAGATTCAATAGGACGAGGAGAGTCCGAATCGGCCAGAGATGGACTGGTTGCCATATAAGCAAAAAAGGCCGCTGCTCGAATACTTTTGTGGGGAGATTAGAAAGAGTACAATAGATAAAGTTAAGCATTCAAAAAAGCAATAGACTCGACACGCAGATAGATAAAGCCTTGACGAAAACGGTAGTAACAGAGAGTGGAGTAGATGTACAGTTAACCAACCTTACAGGGGGCGATTTTCGGCAGCAACGTATATGGTATAACAGGGTTTTCATATAATCACAAAACATCCGAACACTTAATTAGCTAGCTACTTTTCTTAATAAGAAACAATACTGCTGCTGTCGTCGATGAAGACGGATAAGCTACCGCGTTTTCTCCGACTAACGTGTCAATTGTTTCCATTCAGAATGACTCATTACATGTGAACTCCGATAAATGGATGCTGTGCAACGTAACTGATTGTAACTCGTTCGAATCTTTCAGCTGTAACACCCTTTCGGTGCCTAGCTGCCATGCCACCCGAAGGAAGCACAAGGGCTGCGATACTGCCAGGTCGCCCAAACCTAGTCCAGAGGCAGAAGTCGGGTTCAAACCACGAATCTTCCGGTCAGTAAATTCACACTCTAACCACTTCGGCCATGTCGCCTCATTAACTGGTTGTATGAACGATGCTTTGAAGACAAATGTACAAAAAGCACCGGCGATTAGCTTCAAGTGCTTTCTGGAGTCAGTCAACTCTTCTAAAGTGATATACTTATACCAGTTCCAAAAAAGCCGGTGACATTTCTGCGAATCACAACTAACAAGACAAGTAGGTTGCCGAAGCTCGAAAACAAAACGGGCAACTGCTGTTGATGACTGTTAATAAGCACTATCGACGGAACATTAGTATGTAAATTTTTAATGATGCAAGACCGTATGTTGGGCTCGACCAACAATTGTGAAGACACCAACTATCTCACACCGGTCGTGATCGGGGAGAAATTTATGGGTGGCAAGCAACCGTGTGTTGACTTGCAAGTCAATCACAGGGTAGTCAAAAGGCGTTGTGGTTGTGTGCAGCCTCACACCTGCTATACGGCTCGTAAGGGGAACAAACCAAGAACGACAAAACTGCATTTCCGTAACCCATCACCGAATTCGATTCAAAGTCACGTTAGTTCTCGTGAAGGGGTGGCCAGCTAAATCCTTGGCCGTAATTGGTCAATTTTCAGACCAATCAGATCACACTTGCGTGTGGCATGCAGCCGGCTGACCGTATGGCTGTTTAACCGACGGTTATTCAGGACTGGCTACCTCCACGAAACAACAGAGGCCGAATGACTGCGCGATCTTTCAGTACATCCGATGGTCGTCTGTGAAGCAAATCCTGTTGCGGTGGAGAACACCCTGGAGTGTACACGACAAACAAATGCTAAAGTTCGGTGGGTAGATTTCGTGCTACTGTATTTACGATCAAAGTTTATGCGAGAGCAAAAACAATGCTCATGGACATGAAACATGGCAAATCAATTTCACAATGAATAACACTTCAGCCATCAGTGAACGTGTAGGCAAGCGAGTTCAACCTTGAGATCATTTGATAAAACAGAACAAGTCAGACTGTCTGTGAAGCTAACCAGACCGGGAACTGACAACTTACAAACTTGAGGGATCCTCCGGTTTCGATAGCCGTGCACACATATCGAGGAGACAAAACACCAAAGATAGTCCAAGCTGTAACAAGAATGTCAAGACATTACATCGGTGCGAGAAATCTACCTAGTAAACGAACCGAGTAAAACGATCCGACCAAACTGAACTGCTTTGAGCATAAAAAAACAGGAATGAATGAAAAATCGTTTAAAAATGCGAATCCACAGCTTTCAGCAGTTTGTGTAAATGTATATTAATTTCACCCAACATCCGCAATGCACGTTGGCTAACTGATGCAGTCGTTTCACAGGAAATCGCACAGATGACTAACCAGTAAAAATACTCCCATGACGATGAAAATTTCAGATACTTTCGTCCTGGGAAGCGCCAAAACTTTGTGGGTCAGAGCAAAGCGAATACAGGGGTGACACAATACGGGATATAACTGGCATTATTAGTAGGTTAGCTATTTAGCCGAGATGCAAGAGCAACACAGAACCCTAAACTCGACTGCTCGTGGTTAACCTTGGTTTCTAACAAATTAAGTGTCCTAGCCACCTTGCCTCCTTCTGTAACACCTTTTCGGTGACTAGCGGCCATGCCTCCCGAAGGAAGCATGAGGACTGGGATACTGAAAGGTTGCCAATGTCTAGACAGGGGATGTCAAGATACAGAGGTCGGGTTCGAAACACGGACTTTCCGGTCAGTAAATTCGTGCTCTAACCACTGAGCCATCTGGCCAACTCACACAGTAGCTATGCATTGGAAGGGTTCTAGGGCATTATTATTACCGTTATTTGTCGTTATTATTATGTCCCAAATATAAAGAACCAATGACTTCGGCGTCGTAGTGATGGACCTCGAACAGCGGAAAGCCTGTTCTGAAGAAAGGTTACCGCAGCAAGGGTAAGGGTAAGATAATTCCGTAATCTTTGGTAATAAAACTTCCAACGTCCACTTAATCAATACAAAGATCGTATTCAGGTCGTCCAGGATGTTGGATCGTTTGACACAAAAGAGTGATTATGCTCAACATGTGACTATTGCGTGACGAACGAAATCATGGACCTTAGTCCAACTGCGCTCTTGTACACGAAAGAGCGCGCATCAGGATTATCGTCGCTGCCGAATCCATATTGCTTGACCAAAGCGGCAAAACCAACAGAGAAGAATCAGATGCTGCGGTTTTGCTTCCTTCCTATCGAGCAATCGACGGTGTTGTAGTTGTGTACTGTTATCAGCAAATGGGGGAAATGCCCCAAAAGCAAGAGCAATTGTTCAGCCGTAACACCCTTTCGGTGCCTGGCTGCCATGCAACCCGAAGGAGGCACGAGGTTTGACATACTCTCAGGTTGCCCAAACATAGATAGGAGAAGCGGAGATGCTAAGGTTGGGTCTGAACCACGAACCTTCCGGTCTGTAAGCTGGTGCCCTAACCACTGAGCATTCTCGAGAAGCGGAAAGCTAAGGTTGGGTCGCAACCACGAACCTTCCGGTCTGTAAGCTGGTGCCCTAACCACTGAGCATTCTCAAGCTCAGAGACCCCTCTAAAATCGGTTACATGAACGGATCAGATTTCACATCCGCATAACAATCGACGTCCGCCGAAAAGACCGATGCTGCGTTGTCACCATAGGGTTGGATAATGTAGCATCTTTCTATACCGCGCGCGACGCACTCTCAGACCAATTTACCCTGCCTCTCGTAATTGGTTCCCGAGTTAGGTAGAGCAAGCTATAAACACTGCTTCCAAGGTAGTCTTCGCACACGAATGTCATCTTCCCGACCCACATAAAGTGGACTGGACCGCGACGCAATAAACTATGTCCCCGACACACGAACCGACTTCGCGTCAGTTTTAGGGGATGACGGTCTCGTCTTCCTTGAATCTAGAGGTTCACTGGGGCATAAAAGACTGCCCAGGTGCGTAAATCTACTTACCACATCTTCCGCCTGGACTACAAGCATGGTATTTGGTCCTTACCCCAGCAAGGTGTCACCAGGGTCACGCGCTCCGCAGGCTTAAAACACGCCAAATCATATGGCAGAATTATTTAGCATAGAGTTGATGTGGTTCACAGTTCTGACCTACGAAATGCAATATGGTTAGCGTATTCAAATTTTGTGAGCTAACTGCATGTTTTACCCCCGAAATACCCAACACAGGAAGGAAAACTACGGGTATATCATTAATAAAGCAGGAGATGATGAAAGAAGACAACTTTGCTTGAAACCACTTGAGAGGACCATAGAAGATGCTGCGCATGGTATTTACGGAGAAAAGGCAGGATGCCAATCGTCACCAGACCGTCATAATTACTGACCGTCGACAGGGGCAAAAGCAACCTCCAGGTCAAGAGAAATAACCAATACCGAATGTCGGGAGGAATGGCGCCGTTTTGGCACCCATTTTAAAGTGGTGATTAGAGTGGAAGCCAGCTTGGTTTAACGGATCTGATACTCTTGCTGAGCAGGATACAAGGCGGAGCGAGCTGTGGACGCTATAAATAACAGCATGATGCTTACTGAAGTTGTTACTGTACCTTTTTCCACTATCGATCTGATATATTCTCTCGTCATCAGGTTATTTACCAAGGCAAGATCAGAGTGGAGTTATCCAATCCAAAAGGAACAGCTATTTTGAATCGATGATGGTCACATGATTCAACCGAATTCAACGTTGGTTGGCAGTTGATGGCCTCCAAATGACACGTGGAGAGGTGGGAGTTCGCACAAATTTGGGGAATTCGTGCTCCAACATCAGTGCTATGTGCATCTGCTCCGACTGCCTAAATTAGCCCCTTCCGACCTTGGGTGACCGGTTTCAATATATCTGCAGATAACCTAACTTTTTGAATTGTCTCTGTTCGCAAAATACGTTCGAAGGATTAACTCACACAGTCTAGCACATCAAGTTGCATTGATTATAACCTTCAGCTGATGTCCGGGCATTATTTCGCCCATTTGGAAGTTGGACCAACATTTTCAGATTCATTTGAAAGTAGACTATATAGTCCAACACCGATAGGCTAAGCTGCACCGTAAGAATGGAGTGGCTGGATGACTAGGGGTGCACTTAAGACTATTATCTTACGCAGTCTGTTCGGAATTGGGAGAAGAGATGTCAATGTGGTCATATCAACTTGCGTTCTAGCTTTTTGTTCAAATTAAACATCCCAAAAGTTCACATGTTTATTTCCGATTCGTCGAATGGCAGCCGAAGAATCATTAAGGCGGTAGAATTTGGTCAAAAGACAAGAAAAACTAAAATGTATGAACATAATCTTCGTAAAATAGGATTTGGGTATAAACGATGTATAACCCTAGTTCCAAAACACCGACGTGATTTACTCGTATGGTATTCGACTTGTTTTTTTATAAAAAGGAAATACTGAAGTTTCCCGAACTTGTACTGTTGGAACACTGGCACCATTCTACCTTTTTAAACCTGACAGGATTCGTCAACTTCATTTCGTTTGTTCGGCTCCATTCACACAAACACATGACCATTAGAAAGTCACTCATTTTCTCTCTCAAGAGAATCAAACATGCCGTCCATCCTGGTGTTTACAAACATTCGAGGTATCAAGTGTACTCTTAATCGCGTACGTGTTCGGTTTCCGACAGAAATGCGCATTTCTGGTTATTCTGAACAATTATCGTTCCGCTTTATCTCTCATGACCGGTGCTTGTGCTTACCTTCACTAAAAATGACCCGACTGTGTCAATTCGGTTGTGATAACCTCGATTACCGAACCATGCGACTAAATTCAGCTTGTTTGCAACACCAGTATGCATCGATACGGTGTCTATCATTCCCTTGATAGATTAGACCAGACACACTTAATTCCCGAGCCAAATGAGTTCGGATTTTACCGACGAAATCTGTATTTTTGACGAGTTTGCTATCCACAGAAAAATGGCTTCTATAATTCAACACGTGACAGGTCATTCAGTTCCCCAGTCTTCCCCTCCTCAATGACCTGTGGCGACTAGTCCGATTTCCAAATCAGCTAGTGTCCAGCCTTCTGCTTCCCGTAATGCTCTCCCCGGTTATTTCGGAACATGTGTCATCCTGTTCCAACTAAAGTGTTCAATCTTAAGCAGAATATCCTGATGGGATAGCCACCTGTTAAGAAAAACACTGTTTTTTCTCATTCCTTACTTTCAATATGCAGGTTGTGCTCCCCTGGGTCACTTACACAAGCATGTCACCTGGCAGTAGAGAAAATCGTTATTTCGATTTCTCCTTGTGAAAAAAAGCGTCTGAAAAGCTAAATCTAACTTTGTGAAGCAAAAGGCCAGAAATTTAGTTCCCGCTCTGTCAACGGGCCGCCCATTTTGGAGTCGGTGAAATCTGTGGCAGCCTTTTTCGTTTCCGAAACTGAGTTAGTCGTATCATCTCCTGACAAGAAAAGTATCATCTCTGTTGTTTTCATTCACATTCTATGTCAATTACTCTAGTTTCCCTACTCAAATTCATTTCTCAAAGTTTGCCAGGCTCTCCTGCTGCCTATTACTTGTGTTGATCTAGTTCTCTTAAGAAACATGTACGAACATTTGCGTCACCAAACTTTGTGATCATTCCCTCGGCATTTCTGTTTTTCTCTGTGAAGGATGAAAAAAGTTTCCAACTCCTCCCAATTCCCAAGTGAAGTGCACCATTCAACCCCAATAATTATCGTCAGCCCTCTATCGTCATCACGTTCACATCACCCTCTTTCGAACAATCCTCTTCTTGTTCTAGCACGATTGTTCTCGTGAGTCCGTACTCGAGTTTCACTCACACTGAAAATCACTTTTGGCCATGTTGGGGTTTGAACTCGGAATACCAGACAGGCGAGGCAAGCTCTATCCGATGAGCCTCGAACCCGCGACCACCTAGGTAGTGGCTGAAGGCTCCAGCGGCTGATCGGCAGTGTGACAGGATATAGTACCATTCGTCCTTCGACCACGGAATGCACGTTGCGTTGACTGGCTCCTCGGGTGACGACTTCCCAGACGGATGTTTCATTCGTTATGAGAAATTATTCTTACTGGAAGTTAATAGCCGGGAGGTCACGAATTCGAAACTCCGTACAGTTCTGTGAGATGCGCACTGCTGATGGTTTCCAATAAAGATGAAGCCGCTTACAGTGCTTCTCGGCTTTCCAGCATAGATTGGCTTCACCCGAGGGAAGAAATCTCTATAAGAAATTCCTCTATTTGTTTGAATCCCTGCCGGAACTACCATACAGTCACTGAAACATATGGGTGTTTTTTGGACAAATATTCGGGTTCCCGTTGTTATGGGGGATGTAACTCCTTGGGCAGAAAGTCGTGCGGAGTCTATGGAGCGAGGGGTTTCCTTGGGCATAGTTAATAGTACAGAAATCACGCGCGAACCTTTGTTCCGGAGTGGCATATCCCCAGCATAAGTTCACAGTACACCAGACACAGGATGGCTAAGGAAGTATTCGTGTGTCGGTATGCAGCCAACTAGCTGCGATATACAGGTGGTCCAACATAGGACTTTCTTGTCACGAAGAAGTGAGGAAAACCTTACTTATTTCTTCAATGTAATTATACAAGTGGACAGCCGTCCTGATATCTGGACTGTAAATTCACCTGGCTAGTCTCCGGAGTATGCATGCCTTCCAGATAGGTGAGAAAAGAACAGTACTATAGCACAGCGACACACCAGGAGGTAGCCAGATGATGTCACCAGAATTTTGTTCCAGAATTAACATGAACAAAGTAAAAGAAGAGGATGCACCTTTCAGTTGAGCAGATATTGGTTTCGTCAAGCAGGCGGTCAAAAAGAAATGCTCTTATGACTGCGAATCGTGCAAATCTAGGGTTATTTGTCGCAGTAAGGAAAATAGTAAGGTGGGAGAAACGCACGCTAGATGTAACGCGGGTTCTCCATAGGGTAAGCAAGGACCGAGGAAATGAAGCCGTATTTCCCTGGACTTATTCAAACAGCAGGTGCAAGTGCATCCCAACAAGCCGTTCCAATAGCATTTCATCATACCAACATCTGACTGTGACTCACCTGGGAGGTTAAAAGCGCCTTGATCCTTTCGCTTGGTTCCGGGTGACGACCCAATGGTTCGATGACTTCGGGGAAACAGACTCTCATCAGGGACTCAACATCGGTTGTTTGATATACGGCATGACGAAGGCTCGGATAGAGCAGAGATGTGCACTAGGAGGAAAATGAATATGAACAAGGCATAGTAAAACAGAATTCCAAGGAATGCAACGAAATCTTACAAACAGGGATGCCAGAAAGGTAGGATACAGAACATAGGGTTCCAGGACTAAGTATTCAGCACAGCCATGATCCACAGAAGGTTTAGGTTGGATGCTCTGACATTTTTCATGAGATCTCTCGATCCAATTTCTAGGACGACTTATACTCAAAGATGAGAAGTTCACGGCTGCGAAGCATCAGTGTTGAACACTGATGTTATCCTGTCGATAATGCTGCTGATGAGAGACCGGAAAATACTTCGGTGTCAGGCTAAGATGTCTAAAGCCTCGAGTTTCATAGCAAAGGCTACACGTTCCTATCGGGATAAGGCTGTTGGGTCACCTAATGAACCAAACACAAGTTTTGGTAGCGCAGAAAATTCCAACCAACCCGAAGGAAGCACATAAGCTTAGACGGTATCAATCAATGAAGCAGGAAACTTTCAGTCAGTAGCTCACGCCTTAAGCTTTAGGTTAGTAAGGTTTGGTGCCGTTTTCAATTTTTCTTTACACAACGCAGCGTCCTTGCGTTCCGAAAACAGGTGACTATTCTTTCAGGCACTCCAGCGATTCCCTATGCTGCCTCGCCAAACCGTCGCACACAACAAGCAATGTTGATACGGACAAGATAAAAAGGTGAGCTATGAAAAAACTACTTGCTTGACACATTTGCGTTGTGTATGGGTCACTTACTTCCTTCATGAAGGGAGATAAAAGTGTATGGGCTTTGTGAAAGTGTACCAGGAATTCTTGCAGGCACCGGTTGGAGAAAAGCTGACAGTATGCGAGAGGGAGACAGAGACAGACAGGTTAAAGCATCAGTGTAGATACGGATATTTGGTGTTAGCATGGTAAAACAGTGTCAGAGACGTATGCAAGGAAACTTGGTTTATTTTGTAGAATACTACATGAAGAAGTAGAAAAGCGTCTCCATATAGGCCAACCCTGCAAAAGTGGCTCCGCACTGCTGAGGTGACATCAGGAAGATAAGAGACACTGATGAGAAGAGCTAGGTCGTCGGTTTGACCCAATCCTGCGATCACATATCTCAAAAAAAAGCTGTCGAATTTTTGCCACTTGCTTTTGTATAGACTCGTTAGAATATTCACATTAGGCACCATTGTTTGGCATCCCTTCGAAAGAATTAGTATAGCCCACATAACCCAGTCATGATGGGAAAACCGATAAACTGCAGTGCTGTCATTAGTCACCCAACGATATAATCGTTGAGTGGTAACACCCTTTCGGTGCCCAACCACGATCTCAGCACAGCGGCCGAGAAACTTCCGGGTTGCCCTAGCCTAGACAGGAGCAGTAGAAATATTGAGGCGGTTTGAATCACGGACTTTCCGATCAGGGAGTTCGCGCCTTAACCACTAAGCAATCTTGATTTTCTTATAGCATAGTCAAACATTCCAAAAATGGGTTCGGGGAAACGAACGGTACGATTAGGAAATACATCAACTGACTGAACTACCAATTCGGCGACTTCGATTCGGACACCAAACTAGGCCACTGAGTCAGAGTGAACAAGGTATGCTTCTACACGACTGAACAGTGAAAAAGCCAACACACATACGAATTGGGGAGACTAGGTGAAGTGAGCAAACATTCTGCGAGGCGTTTAAAGTGAACTGGGGCAAATGTCGTACAGCGCATGACTGCTTGGCGGACAACCGGGACAGAGAATGCAGCGGGCTAACTCGCAGTGGCAAGCGAATACACCCAAAGGTTCGCCAAAGTTTCCTTCTCTGCACACGAAACGTGAGCGACGGTCAAGTAGATTGGAATACATTCGGTTAAGGTGTTCGGCCAGTCATTCTACTCATAACAGATACCATAAGGCCAGATCCGAGTGACCACAGATGATACTGTAATTAGTCACTTTTGGAAGGCGTACTAATTGGAGACCAGTAAACCAACTGATAAAAATGAAGATGCACAAGAGACCTTGGCCTTTATATAGCCACGTTGTGTCGCATAAAATTGTGTAATGGAGCAACTCAATGCTTACAGTCGGTATCCACCTGATGCACAAAAAGAACCGAGAAGCGTTCGACAGAAGGAACGACAGTGGATTTCTTTACCATGAAGAGCCAGAAACATACAGTGTTTCTGGCCCGAACGGCTTCGGTGTCCATGAAATCGACACGTTTAAAGGTTGGATTTTGCACTGGAAGGAATATCATTAGGTCAGGAACCTTAAACGTGGTGTTTCGTTGCAATATGCACAGTACATTGTCCACCACGTTGATTTGGTAAAAGCACGTGACTCAACGGTTAATCAACAAACGCATACGTTTAAAAAGTACGGTCACTGACGCCAAGAACAGTGGGTTCACCAAAATATAGATATTGTACGCGGACATACTCAATATACAGGTAAGTGTAGATAAAAAAAAGTTTGAACCCGGTACGGGTGGAACAGCATGAAATGGTTCTTGAACGAGCGGTATGCAGAACAGTGGATAACGCATCCGTGGAATTGATGACAAACGGTAAGACCAAGCAGAAATTTTAGGCCTTTTGTTGTTTTATATTTGGATAAGTATTCAAGACGATGCTCACCGTGGCGAGGAAAATTCCATTCAACGTCTTCTCCAAAGTAAAAGGGTGACAGACAGCGTCAGACGACATCACCTGATCGAAAGGTGATTCGTTGCTCGTCTAGAGGTGCTGATTAAACTATGACGGCGAACCCGCTGATGATCAATACACTGCCATTGAAGTCGTTACAATGAAAAACATCCCTCCAATGAGTATTAGTATTTCATAAGCCAGTTAATCTGCACACTTTACATAACTATCATGTCATCATCTTCCCATCCTCGAAATCGAAACGCATACATATCCCACGTGCCAATACTCCAGATCAGCCTAAAAGAGTGCCAGCCAAAACTAGATTGCTTTGGTTCGGGGTCCTAGTCCTGGATTTTGGTATCTTCGAGGCTCCGGTTGGATTGCGCCACACTATCACTTTTGTCTACACCCGGACAATGCGGTCCAATCTTCTACTCAAGGGTCAATTCAGTGACCAACTACGAACAGCCGTTGGCCAAATACCGAAAGGTGAGATTCCCGTGAAAGACTCCGAAAACACTATTCACTACGCTGTGATAGTTTGGCCATGGTCAATGATATGAAAACTGAACATAAAGTAAATTTAGCGAAACTAAACCCACACCTTTTTTTGAGATTTCATCGTGCTGAAAAACCGAGAAGCACTTCTCGACTTTTCAGCATAGATTGGCTTCACTTACAGGACGAAATCTCCATAGAAATTCCCAAATCTCCTCACACTACCAACAAACCCACACCTGTTTCAAGCACTCGAAAAAGCATCTCCAGATATGGTACTCAGGATATCAGTCTCAAAAATCAGACTGCATAGAAATCGTACCAAGAGACAGGAGGCGTGACAACAGAGGGTCAGATAATACGTTTGTGTGCGCAAGATTCGAACTCCTAAAATCAAACCTGAATCAATATAATCCGAACCACCTCAACATTCATTACTTCAATTGAGTCCTAAAGATATCACGGGACATTGCGCAACCAGTGTGACCGATGAGAAAATAAGTCACAGGAGAGCACGAAGTTGCCGGGCCTTCCACATGTTATTTTTCACAGGTAAATGATGCGCGAATCATGTGCATCTCAGTCCAACTATCACCGCTACAGACCACCCATGACTTAAACGACACAACTCTTTCATGCCCATAACTTTTCGTTACTAGACTACAAAAAACGTGGTGACCAGTGACTAAAGATCGTATGCACCTGCGATCGCCTCAAAGTACGTCCCAAGGCGAGGTGACCAAAGTCTGTTCCTGAAACTCAGCATACAACCGGAGTGGAGATTCAAAAGAAGTCGTGTTCTTTTTTCATAAGGGAAACTGCTCACAAGGTTGCTGAAAACGTTTCGACAGCCCACGACCGGTTTTTCCCTTCTACTTTCGCCCTAATGAGGGCGAAACCGATCGTGGGCTGTCGAAGTGTTTTCAGCAACCTTGTGAGTAGTTTCCCTTATCAAAATATACTGCGTTATCTGGAATAGCATACAAACTGAAACATGAGGCAGCCTGTGTGCAGCACATTCAGTTGAAGAACATCATAAACGAGAGATTTACTTGAGTCTCCCGTGAAACCTGAATCAATTTACAAATGAGTGTATTTGTCGCAAGTCATGATCTTGTTTGTGAGAACGCTACCTCACAGTTATTTCAAAGCAATGAAACGTACTGATTCAAAAGATTATCTGAGCAACGGCTACCCAACCGAGATGTGACCGACTGATGGCAGTTCAAAACGCGAGCTGCAGCAACTCGACAACGTTAAGCCATATGGATGTAAAGCGATGAAGCCAACGTGAATGACAGGCAGTTTGTAGTGGAAGCTTTCACGTCTAGACAGGGAGAGTCGAGAGGTAGAGGTCGGGTTCGAACCACGGACATTGCGGCCAGTAAATTCACGTTCTAACCACTAAGCTATCTCGTCCCACATGAAAATAAGGGATCCACTCGGAAAGGGTCACTTTGCTAAAGGTACCACGAGTGGTAATACGGAATAGTGTAGTGTACTGTTCCCCAATGACAAGTCACAAGGGACTGGCGATATTCACCATAATCTTATGTGAATGAATTCAGTCTGCCTAGAATAGTAGTCGCCTTTATCGAAAATAAGATTCACACAAGGGTTGACTTAAGCGTGTGATAGGCGGATAAAATCAGTCATGCTGACAGTCAATGCCTCCCTGGATAGCAACCCTGCGCTAATAGAAAACACACATTGGAGATACAAGCGGCTAAGAACAAGTCGCATTTCCAGTGGAACTCATACGCTCAAAATATTGCGTCCCAAAGTCATCGTCATTGTTCGACGAAACTGAGGAAACTTGAACTCAGATTCATGATTCTGAAGCCTTGATTTCCTGGTCCTTTCTCCGCCAGTCGGGATGGTGTGTACAGAATGTGACCGCGACAAAAACGTAGGTGCAGATAATTGGTATAAGGGACAGGAATTGCGTACCTGTGGGACAATTAATCGGAAGCTGTGTCACAGAAGCGTTAGCAAGTTAAGATGCATGTTACGAGTTACCGCACCTTTCTAAGGATATCCACACACAAAGAGTTTACCCCAATTCACAAAAGGAGTAAGATACCTCTAGTGCATCCAAGCAAAACAAGGGGTGATCAAAAAGTCCTGGTAGGGACCGCTCTGTCAGCAGCTTATGTTTCATCCAACAAATGGTACTCAGTAGTTCTTATTCATCGGAAGTATCGGGTTAGCATAAATACTATGCAAACCAAGAGAAGGACGATAACAGTTGATAAAGGAGTGCCCATTGGCTATTTCTCCGGAAAAATGGTGAGTCGATTCCTGTTGCCCAGTACCGGGCGAATACCATTTGCGTATAATCTGATAGTCTGAACCAACCTGCAATATCTTAAGCCGGCCAGATCTCACATTGTAGGTGACCAGAGATCAACAGTTCATAACCGCCTTGCGATTGGCTGCCAATCAGCGTTTTAATGTGTAACACACCCACTGAGTCGTGATTGTTCAAAGCACGTCCAGCCGCATTTAGTTCCCTGACATTGGATGGTGGAATGTGATGTCTTGCGCTGAAATAATCTTGTCAGAACATTGCAGACCAGAAAAGTGGTCTCGTTAATAAACAACCTATTGCTTGTGAGCGGATGACAAGAAACAGTCAACGGGTGACCCGACACACACAACCTGCGAATTCAGAAAAATCGACACAGAGGTGTGAGCTGGACAGAGACAAAAGCCTTGGTCATTAGTAATAATGCCTGTCTTGCTACAGACGGAAACTTACCGGTGGAAGATGATGGAGCACCGAGGCAATCAGGCGAATCCCTTTGCGAATCGCCAACATGTCTAACCAGGGCGAGTGAGAATCCGTGATTTCAGAAGTGGGCGCCATTGCGGGCGGTTTGCCGGTCGGATATGCGCTAGATCGAAATAAGTCTCCTAACAGTTGATTCAGTAGCTGCTGACGGTGGGAGGTCAACCGATTTCGCCTAGCAGCAGAAACAATAGAATAGAATGAAAATGTAGAACGACGCGTGAAACAACGATGATGCACCGTTCCGCAATTCTTTAGAGTAAAATAACAACAGCCTCTATCGCTGACTGTTCACTACAGCATACGAGACGCGCACTATTGTCCTATAAGATGACCAAACTATCCAGATGTTACACACCATCTAGCCTTTCGTGAAACTGTGTGTGGATTTGGCTAACTGATGTTTTAAGCCAACGTATCCACCATGAATCAAGCGAACAGGGTTGTGTAAAGTGCGCTACGAAGAACTCCGGTAACGTTTAAAACAGTCGCTCCTAACCTTCGACTCACACACTCGTTTACAAGCCACAGTTAGCTATTGTCTGTCCACAGTGAGTCAGGTTTAACAGTACTTGTTTACGAACTTTTAGCGTTCGATAGACGTTCAGCTAGTGAACGGCATTCAGTTTAGCTTAGGTAGCGCATAAACAAATACATACTGTTTAATGTGTGAACATTATCTGGTCGCTTCGTCGAGGGATGTCTATGTAAGAATGACGGAGTAACGGAATCCAACAAACTATCTGTAATGATGAGGTGTAAAGCTGCTGGAGACGATTGGAGACTCTTGGCGGTGAGGAAATACAAGCTACCGAGGGATGTCTAACACTCCAACCGGGATGAAACCGGTTTGTGACATGAAGTGAAACAAGATGCACGGATGACTAGAAATGTTTGCAAATTCTGGCTTGGTCTTCTGAATAACGGTGTGATCGAACAAGAGAGACATGGAAGTAACGTACACGCGACTATAGTCTCACGGAAAGACAAGAACGAGACGGAGAGGCCCTCAGTCTTCCTTCAGAGAATTAAGATTTTGGAACATATGCCGATTTCGCCTAAAGTTATCAAGATACAACCCAGGAAATCCCGACGTTACAAATGGCGGCGCTATTTACATTGTGAAAATCAAGAAGGATGGTCACCAAAAGGAACCAGAAGGTGACAACTAGACGGTACAAGAAACAACACTGGCCCTAAAGATCGTCGCACCGAATATACTAGTGTATACCAGCGCATGCGCCGGATATCCTCCTGCGATAGACGTTATCCAACCAAGGGCAGCTACATCGTTGATGCACAAACGTGAGATGAGTGCTAGCTAACACAATCATTCCGAGGTGCCTACACCTCCAGACATTCACTCAGGCAATCTGGATAGAAACTGACAACAAGAACGCCACCGGA